GTCATACCAAGTTTCAGATGAGGTTAGAAGGCTGAGCAGGGGTGCGTGCCTCACAACAGGAAGGGAGGAAGAAGGAAGGAAGGAAGGAAGGAAAGAACTTTGATGTGAGAGAGACACATCTACACGGGATTGAACCTGCAACCCTTCAGTGCACTGGCCAATGCTCTAACCACTGAACCCACCAGCCAGGGCCTCCTCTTTTCTTCAACAGCAAAAGCAAGTGGGAGGAGAGAACTCAGCTGCTCAACTGCCTGTGAGGGGGAACTTCCCCCTCAAAAACTCAAAACTCTCAACCTCCTTCAACCCAGTCTGAGGACCAGCCTGAAAATAAGGGACAGGTACCAGCGAATGACCAACAAAGACAGTGGTCATCTCCCTGCAATAACTCTCTCTATTTCACCCAGGCAATGTGATTTTAAACAGGCCTCTGCCAGTCCCCAGGTAACCCCAGAACCACTGGGAAGCTCCACAATACATGGGGAAATCTCATGACTCCTCTAATTGCTTAGCCCTCCCCCCCATAAAAATTAACAGAAAGAAGAAGGGCTCTTTCTCTCCCTCCCTCTCAAATGGAGCATTGCCCATTCCCAGAGAATCAGTTACCAAATCCAGAACAGCACACAAATATGTCTCTTCCAACCCCACACTGACTTTCATTGTCACAGTGGTTCTCAACCTGTGGGGGTCGAACGACCCTTTCACAGGGGTCGCCTAAATACATCCTGCATATCAGGTATTTATATTATGATTCATAACAGTAGCAAAATTACAGTTATGAAGTAGCAACGAAAATAATTTTATGGTTGGAGGTCACCACAACATGAGGAACTGTATTAAATGCTCGCGGCATTAGGAAGGTTGAGAACCACTGGAAGGACTCACTTGTCCTTAGAATAACTGCAGGTATCTCTTCAAAGGTCTGATTTTCATGGTCTCTCCCAACAGAAACCAATGTGCCTATTTTCAATCAAATCTATCTCCCTAACCTATAGTTGGACTTTCACCCCTGGAAACTTTCTCTTCCCTTAAAATCGTGTTCCCATAAACCTTGGGAGTTATAGAACTGCTGCCTTAATTAATAGGCAGAAGACCAAAAGCGCAAGAGATGCAACTCTGCCATTAGCACTCTGTGTATTAATACATTAATGCACTATGTAGCCTTGTAAAAGGAGGCGAGTACCTGGGCTCTCAGTGCCTTTCTGTTCTCCCTGGAGCGGTTCTGCCCCCACCCGCCACCTCCAGGCAGAGGCTGGAGTTCCTAGAAGCGAAGGGCAGAGAAGAGCAGCGACCCCGCGCATTTCTGGTCCATTCCGCAATCCGCCCACCCCCAACTGCTGCTGCTGGAGCGGGTCCCGCTGCGCGCCCCAGTCCAAGTGTCCCCACAGGGAGAGCCCATGGTCTCCTCTCACCCCCGCCCCGGCGCCCCTCACCGTCAAGCGGGTGGAAGAGCACTAGGAAGCGGGCCGGGCTGCCTGGTTCCTGTCGGACCTCACACTCCCCGCCTCCCGATCTCTTCTGGCTCTGGAAGTACAACTGCAACTTGGTGATCAAGCTCTTCGGGGGATCGGGACCCCAGGACCCCTCAACCAGTAGCGGGAAGTAGCCAGGCGCAGCCATCCTCAGCCCTGCTCAGGGCGGGACTGCTAGTCCTACCCCAGCTCAAGCAGTTAACTTTGCCTCTTTAGCTTTCGTTTCAGGGAAAAACCCCTCCCTGCTCTTAGGTAACTGCCTTTGGCTATAAACAGCAACCCCAGATTTGATGAGTCACCCCCTCAGAATCTTCACTTTCATCTGGGCCCCAGGGCAAGGCCATCCAGGTATTTGGGTGAACACGGGTCCCTAAACTCAGTGCTCATTTGCCACACACACAAGCCACAGGGGCAATCAGCGGCTTTGTGTCACAGTCACAGGTTTTTTTTTTATGTAATATTTACAAGGTGCCATGCACTTGGGATGGATTCAACGGGTGGACATATTTCCTGCCCTCTCTGAGCTCAGGAAGCTTTGGGACAGAGGAGTTAGGACACAGTGGAAAGATTGCTCTGAATGTCCTCTTTTGAAAGGTGTCTATTTAGATCCTTTGCCCATTTGTTGATTGGATTGTTTATCTTCTTTTTGTTAAGTTGTATGAGTTCCCTATAAATTTTGGAGATTAGGCCCTTATGAGATATGACGTTGGCAAATATGTTTTCCCACGCTTTCTTGTTGTTTTCTTGATGGTTTCTTTTGCTGTGCAGAGTCTTTTTTTTTTTTTTTGGATGTGGCCCTT